CCAGATTGCTTTTGTCTTCAGGAGTTCCCACAGAGGCCCAAGTCAGATGAGGATCAGATGCTCTCAGGCTTTCTCCTAAGGTCTGGATCCCTCCGGGAAAGATTTTGGCCTCAGGAATTTGGGGGTTGGACTGGCCTGGGAGAAGGGCCCAGGAAAGATGCTCGTCTAGGGCAGCTGGTGGCCTTGTCCCCCAGAGATGCGAAGAAGACAGGGGTGGGAAGCAGCCCCAAGGGCTCCTGGGGACTGCACTGTGGAGCTGAGTTGGTCTGGATGCAAAGGATCAGGAAGAGGAAAGGCCAGCCCCAGCGTCCAGGAAAGAGGCTGGAGGGTTGTGCAGGCCCAAGGAAGTAGAGGAAGGTGAGGGTGGGGCGGGCCCAGAGTGCTCCCAGGAGAGAGGCCTGCAGGTCGTGCAGGCCCAGGGCTATATTTTCATATTTTAAAAAAGAAATTTGGGGACAAAAGGAAATATTTCAAGGAGCAGAGGTGATTCAGTACACCGGTTTTGCAAGTTTCCCATCTTTCTAGATGATTCAAATGTTGATGACTTCCAAGTTCTACATTTCAGAAAGTCCTCACGTGGTATATATCTGAAACACTGTGGATGCAAGCTTTGAGCCATGTGGGGAAGCCCCAAAATAAGACAGCAGCAATCCCAGGGACAAAGGTTCTGTGTGATGGTCAGTTATAATTGCCAACTTGATAGAATCAAGAATCACCTGGGAAGAGAGTCTCAGTGAGAAATTGAGACATTAGATATTGTCTACATTAGGTTGACCTTGCGAGCATGTCTGTGGAAAATTTGTCTTAATTGCATTAATCCATGTGGGGAGAATCAACTTAAAAGTGGGAGGCACTATTCCTTAGGTCTCAATATATGTAGCCCAGGCTAGCTTTAAACATGCCTTATCTTCCCAAGTACTGGGATTGCCACACCAGTGCAGAGTAATTGTCATATAGGGTATGGACAAGGAGAAAGTGAGCTGAGCCCAAGCATGTATACATTCCCTCTCTGCTCTTGACTGGGTGGACTAGCTTCTTCAAAAGTCCCTGCCACATCAACTTCCCTGTTTACAGTGACTGTAATGTGGAATGGTGAACCAAAGAAATCCTTTCTCCCAGAGTTGCTTTTGTCAGGGCATTTAATCACAGTAACAAAAATGAAACTAAGGCAGTCTGCTTATCAATTTCAGTATTCTTCACGAACTATTTGAAAGGGGGGGAACCACAAAATGACTAGTCTTCTGATGTTTTACTTAGTTATTGACCCCCAGAAAATAATTTTTTGTTTTATAAGTCTTATTGAAATAAAATCTCTCTGCTGGAAATAAATATTTATAAAGATTCCTTCTTTTTCTCTGGATTTTGTCATTCTGCTGTTTATTTAGTGAAACCCTTTGGGAAATTGCAAAAGCTGAAGAGGAAAAAAGAAGTCAAGGAAGTGAAGGTGACAGAGTCGAAATTGGAGAAAAATCTGTTTTCTTCATTGGCAGTAAAAGTGGGGTAATGCTTTCATTGTTTTCAACTATTGGATTGTTTTATAAGCAGTGACAAGTTTTATTTTTTGTATTTTTTGAGACAGGATCTCCCTGTAGCCCTAGCTGGCCTGGAACCCACTAGGTCGATCTCACAGAAATCTGTGTGCCTCTGCCTCTTGAGTGCTGGGACTTAAGGCGTGTGCCGCCACACCTGGGAACAAGTTTTATTTCAATATTTTGATAAAAATTTATATATTTTCAGTCTTTATCCCAGTGACCACTCTGATTTAGCATAAATTAGAAGGGGCTTATATCATTGCTTTAGGAAAAGTTTTAACAGTGAACAAAATCTTAGAAAAGATTTATAGCTATTATTTTTATTTGATAATTTGAAACATTCAGATCTTTGTGATTGAGTATAAAAGCCAGGATTCATTTAAATAGCTAAGTCAATGTCTTAAATCAAAAGTCAATATCTTAACAATAGTCATATTGTGGACTTAGTTATTTCACTTTTGTGAATCTCTGTTAAGAAATAATCATGTAATGGATTCATCAAAAGGCTAGATGTTTTGAAAAAAATGTGGGGAAACGAGGTGGTACTCCCCACTCTGCATAAGGTCTGTTTCACTTAACCAAGCATACTGAAAGATGTGGGACGTGGCACAGAGCAGGAACAGATGTGTCATATCCACCCACAGAATTCCTGCCTGGAAGGCAGAGCTGCTAGTGACACTGCCTATAAAGATCAAGGCTTGGAGATCCATGATGCTAAAATTATGTAGCATCGGGCTCATTTCTAGTTGGAGTTTTTATTGCTATTCATTTACTGTGCTTCATGCTTTGGGCATTGACAAACAGGAAGCTTCCAGAAACTGAATTCTGTACCAACAAAGCCACATGTTCAGTGGGCAGCCTGAGTACTCTTTGTGTCCAGATAGCCCTGCCAAACAGCAGGACACCATCATTTGAGGGCCAGGTGGTCTTCATTATTTTTGGTCTCATGTATATTCATGTGCAAAGAAAAACATCAGAAAATGGATACTAAAATTGTAATGATTTATTTATTTGTATTTCTACAAGTGTTTTGATTGCGGTTTGTTTATTGGTGTGTGTATAGTGCCTGCAAAGGCCAGAAGAGGATGACAGAGCTGCCATGTGGGTTCTGGGAGTTGAACCTGGGTCCTCTGGAAGAACAGCAAGTGCTTTTATCCCTTGCGCCACCTCTCCAGCCCCAGAATAGTAAAATTTTAATCATTGTATTTTCGTTTTATTTTTAATTTCTGTATGTTCCAAAGTACACTGTACTTTGTTAAAAATCTAAACTTAAGCTGCGTGTGGTGGCGCACACCTGTAGTCCCAGCACTTGGGAGGCAAAGGCAGGTGGATCTCTGTGAGGCCAGCCTGGTCTACATAGTGAGTTCCAGGACAGCTGGGGCTACAGGCTACAGGGAGACCCTCCTTCAAAAAGAAAAAAAAAATCTAAACTTAATTCTTAGCCTAAAATTTTCGGGGAGAGGGTTCAGTGGTAAAGTGCCTTAATGCACAAGCTTGAGGATCTGAGTTCAGATCTTTAGCACTCATGTAAAAGCTGGGCATGGTGATGTGCACATGTCATGGACTACGGTGGGACATGTGTGAGTTAACCTAGCTGAATTGATAAGCTCTAGGTTCAGTGAGGGACACTGTCTCCAAAAAATAAGGTGGATCTGTGTGTGGTGGTGCATGCCTTTAATACCAGCACTCAGGGTAGACTGGTTGTTTGACAATGGCACTGGGACCATGGAGAACCCTGAAGTATAGGGAGGGGGAAGAGGGGGGAAACAAATAGCCTTTGGTGTTTTACATGTCATGTATATGTATGAGTGCACATGTGTGTGCACATGCACATGTCAAATGATTTGTGGAGCCACATGCATGTGTATGCTTTTGCATGTAGAGACCAGAAGACAATTTCAGGTGTCATCCCTCAAGTCTGTCCAACTTTTCAGGTCTCGTTGGCCTAGAGCTCAACATAAGGTGACATGCACCACCAAGCCTAGCATTTTTTTACATGGGTTCTGGGGATCAAACTCAGGTCCTCATACCAACTGAGCTATCTCTCTAGCTGCAATAACCGTCTTTAACAGAGTGGTAGAGGAAGTGGCCCAGGAACAGCCATATAGTAAAGGCCATCAGGTGGAGGAATGTTCTGAAGAGGCTGAGATTCTAGGGAATTTTCCAGTCATGGAGCTGGAGACATAGGTGAAAGTGATTTCAAAGGAGAGAGGACAGGGAGGCATTACTGAGTTGGATGAAGAGATGTATAAACAATTCTGGAATTTAGGTGCATCAGGGAAGACTGGACTGCTGGTGTGACTGAGGCAATTGGAAATGAGAAGGCATTCATTTTGATGGTCTCTAAATGAATTTGTACTAGAATTAGGAAGCTCATGAGTCTGTGGGCACATTAAAGGATCTTGATTTACTAGGAAATTTTTTTAATTTTTAAATTATTTGTATTTTATATATATATATATATATATATATATATATATGAGTATTTTGCCTGCATGTATCTAAGTATACCACATGCATGCAATGCCCACAGAGGCCAGAAGAGGCTTTGGACTCCCTGGAACTGGAGTTATGGATGGTGATTAGCACCCAGGCAGGTGCTGGGAACTGAACCTGGGTCTTCTGCAAGAGCATCCAGTGCTCTTAACCACTGAGCCATCTCTCCAGCCCTTATTAGGGAATTTTTAATTTTTGGATTGTCACTTAAATGATGGCCTAAAGCTTAATTTCAGTTTTCAGAGCTTAATTTACATTTATTTGGAATTGTCAACACTTAGCACTATACATTTGCATATTATCATTAAAATGGTTTGAATCAATACAAAGATACTGTGAAAATTAGAAGAAATTGGCTAGATATTATCTAAAATTTCTTCCAGCTCTAATATACAGTAATTCTGGTTTCATACTTTCTTATGCATAGAGTATAAAACTTTTGTGGATGTATGTATATATGTGTATGTGTGGCTCATGCCCCATACATGTGTGCAGAGGCCAGAAGATGTCGCTGTCCTCTTCTATTGCTCTCTGCGTTCCTCTCTTGAGATAGGGTTAGGGTTTCTCACTCTACCTGGAACTCACCATATTTTGGTTAGATTGGTGACCAGGAAGCCCCGATGACCCTCCTGTCTCCATGCCTCCACCTCCCAGTTCTGGGGTTACAGGCACATTGTGGCCACACCCAGCTTTTTTAAAGCATGGGTGCTGGGGATCTGAACTCAGGTCCTCACATTTGCACAGTGCTCTTACTCAGCCAGGTTTCTAGCTTAGCACCTAAAATTCATAAAATACACTACTTACAATGTGTGTGTGTGTGTGTGTGTGTGTGTGTGTGTGTGTGTGTGTGCAGTGCTGAAGATTAAATTCAGTACCTTGCCTAGGCAGGGTGCTGATTTTCTTAAACAAATATAAACTACACATCCGTCAATTTGAAACATTCTTAACATAGTTATGTCCCTCCCTGTATGTATGTGTACATGTGTATATAGATACATATGTATATAAAAGAAGCAGGAAAAAAGCCTTTTAAGTTGAACTGTCTTATCATATAAATATATTTCTACTTGTCATTCCTAAGAGCTGTGTATAGTAATTCATATGAATTGCTATAACCAATTTACCCAAGCCCTTATTTGGGTATATTTAGATTGTTTCTAGGTTTTCAGTTGTTTAATTTATTTTTTATGTTTATATGTATGTGTGTGCTTGTATGAGTTTATTTGCTCCATGTGCATGAAAGAGCCCCTGGAGGCTAGAAGAGGGTATTGGATTCCCTGGAACTAGAATTATAGCTGTGAGCTGCTGCTGTGTGGGTGCTGGGAACCAAACCTGGATCTTCTGCAAGAGCAGCCAGTGCTCTTAACCACTGATTCTTCTCTCCATTTCACTAATATTTCAATTTTGAATAGCACCAGCCAATAAATACCCTTCAACAATACACATTGTTGTAGTTAGTTATTTCTTTACACACCCCATTAGAAAAAAACTTTCAATTTGATTGTATTGCGTATGTAATCTGGAATAAATTTATCACCATCTTTTTTTGAAAAAAATACCTTTTTAATTAGAAAAAGATCAGTATAGTAAAATACTCTATCCTTCTAGCAGCCTAGTGTTTTACAAACTATATTTCCTCAGCCCAGGCATTCCTCCAGAAGCACTTTCCCTGCTGCTCCTTTATGTCCATTTTCTTGTAAAAGGTCATTTGCTTAAAACAAATTTTTAAAGAGTTTTACTATTACACACACATACACACACACACACACACACATCTCAACCCACAATGATTAAAATGACTGAACTAGTCTCTGGGTAGGATGTGGTTACTGACTGAAATAGGCCAGAAGCTCTGTATCTTATTCCTAAAATGGAACTGGAACAAATACATAATACTCTGGAAACCTGAAAAAAAGTTGTCTTGCACAACGTCTAAGTGCTCTCTGAGCATACCTGCAGCATGCCTTTTATTTGTATGTTACTTTTTCTTTATTTCCACCTCAGCAATTGGGATGAAAACATTTTGAAAGACACCAATCATCAGTTTAACCAGTAATTAACATTGTTGAGTAAAGAGAGAGTTTAAGACAGCTGTCACATTGACCACTAAAGTGAGGTATGATTTGTTAATATTGTCATCTGTGGAACTTTATAATTATAATAATAGCAGTGTAGTTACAGTGTGATGGAAAGTTGACAGTTCACTTATTCCACTTATCAAACTTTAGAGTAATTCGGAAAGTTTCTAGTTTTTAGTTTCCAGGTAATTTATCATTCAAATGATTAAAAAGGCTATTTTGGGCCACAATTATGAACACTAATAAAATTTTATATATGGATGACATTAATGCAGTATTCTTTCTTTTTTTAATTTCTAGGGAAAGACAACTATTATTCTAAGGTGTCTTGACAGGTATGTGTATCTCAGCCATTAGACGACACATGTTTATTTTAGTTATAGCACGGCAAGTTAGATTCTAAAAGATATATGGAAGGAGAATAATTTTTGAGACTCAAAATAATTCATTCTCAATGAATCTTTAGTATAGCCTTTAAGAACTCCTTTACAGATAAGACTAAGGAAAAGCTGAAAAATACAGTGTTGATCCTGGCTTTTCCCGTTAGAAAGAGAAATGTTACTATAATCACCTAGCCTGCCATAGGCTGCCATAGTGCGTATGCTCTTTTGTCTATGCTGCTTTGGAATTTAGGTTCTTTTTATTTTTCTTAACATAGGACTATATGAACAATAATTGTAATGCTTAAGTTACTCAGGAGTTTCTTGTTTGTCGGTTTGGTTTTGTTCTTTTTATTTTGCACACTAAGGCTTGAACTAGGGCCCTGCACATACCTCACTCTAATACTGACCTATCCTCAAGCCTTTTTTTGCCCCTTATTTCAACACAGGGTCTCACTAAATTGCCCAGGCTGACCTTGACCTCACTCTGTAACCTAGGTAGGCTTTAAACTTGCCTTCCTCCTGCCTCAGTCTCCTGAGTAGTAGAGATTATAGGCTTTTGCCACCATGCTCAGATTTTAAGGTACTTTTTTTTTTTGGACAGGGTCTCCCTAGTCCCAGCCCAACTGGAAGTCACTATGTGAACCAGGCTGGCCTCAATCTCTCAGAGATCCACCTGCCTCTACCTCCTAAGGACTGGGATTAAAGGCCCATGCCACCATGCCTGGTGTTAAGGGTACATTTTGAAGCACAATATTGGTCCCAACTGTATACTTTATCATTTGTTTTAAATACTTCTGGGCTTTTATATTGTTAAGAAGTGTGCCTTTGGAGTAAGATTATGTTTGGTAGATGTTACAGAAGTTGATATAGAAAGTCTTCAGTCAATTTTAGAAGATATTTTTCCATTCCCTCCATCATAGTGCATATTTTTAGTAACTTCCTCCAAAACATTAAAAGAGATGGAATTTGGTCTTAAGGTCACATTAAAGAAACATTATTCATTTGAAAAATACTATTGGTTATAAATCAGAGTCCTGGTTTGGGGTAGTTCTTTTCACCAATAAAATTGTTAAGAACTCTTTACAGTGGCTAGGTGACAAAAAGACTATACTAACACCATTTCATATCTTCATCTCTAAGTAGTATGGTTCTCTGAAGGTCACATTTAGATGTTTTCTATAATAAATCATCTAGTGCAACATTAGTTCAAGATGAAATGCTGCCAACTGCTAGGTTGGATTTAAAATGATTCATTTCAGCTCTCAGGTAGTATACTCAGAAATAGAACTTTTCCAAATTGTAGGTTAAATATCAGATTTTATAAATTTTGTCTTAAAGGCAGCAGCTTGCTTTATGAAAGAGTTCTATCCTTAAGGAACTATAACCAAGTAATGCTTGGTATGTGTATCAAGAAAGATATCTTCCAAAATAAAATTCAGAATATTTAATAAATATAAATATACAAATCACAAAATTTTAAATTGTGGTTTTTTAAGTCTCCAATTTAAAAATAAATACATTATTCAGCCTCAAGAAAGGAAAGAAATCCTGTCAAATTCGACAACTTGGATGAGCCTTGAGGACATTCTGTTCAGTGAAATAAACCAGTCACAAAAAGGCAGAACTATGTGATTCTACTTATATGAAGTTTCCAGAGCAGTCAGCCTCATAGAAACAGAAGTTAGAATGGCAGGGACCAGGGATTAGAGGGAAGGGACAATGGCAAGTTGTTTATTATGTACAGAGTTTCTTTCCATTTTGCAAGTTTAGAAGTTGTGAGGATTGGTTGTACAACAATGTACTTCAAACTACAAATTGTACACTTAAAATGATTAAGATAGTTTATGTATTTCTTACCACATTAAAAATAAATAAAAATGTAAATATACCATAAACTGCTTATATTAAACAGTATAAATATACATGAATAATTCATCAAATTATTTGAGTATTTTTCAGATCATTTGTTGATTATAAAGACTTGTTTATAGAATTTATTGTCTTAGCTATTATAGATGAGCTGATTTGAAATGGAGAACTACATAAAGACTTCCATTGTTGTCCTTCCTAGTTGACAGGCATCAGGTTCTCAGCTCCCCACATGGAGGCTGAGTGAACAAGTCAGTATTCCCCACCTGGCTTGGATTCAGAGAGCTCATGGCCCAGCACAGCTTTTTTTTATTTTTTTGAAACTGGGTTTCCCTGTAGCCTCAGCTAGCCTGGAGCTTGCTGGCCTTGAATTCCCAGAAATCTACATGCCTCTGCCTCCCACGGCTCTTGATGCTGTCAGCCCATTGCCTCTCCACTCGCCCCAGCACGGGAACTGTACCAGTTAGGTGCCATTATTCACTTCTATACCTGCTACTGAAACCTACTTAGGATGGTTTTGAAGGGCTTGTCTCTTATAATAATATCTTTATAACTTTTACCTCAATGCTAGTATTCAAAGTGGCATCTTTACTAGTAAAGTGTTTAAGAGGAAGCAAAAACTGAATCAGGATTATAGGATAAGAAACCAATTATGGTAATAATGTCTGCCTTTATTGTACAGGGATGAGCCGGCAAAGCCAACCTTGGCTTTGGAATATACCTATGGAAGAAGAGCAAAAGGACACAACACAGTGAGTGCATTTTGAGGTGTTACTGCTTACCATAGATGGGGAAGCCATGACATTGACATTTTTGATGGTTCTACTTTTTCTAGCTCATCTATAAACAATAAACATACCCAGTGGTGCATTTCATACACGTGTACAGTTAAAGGTGAAATGCAGTTCACCTCATAGGATGCTTATCCAAACTAGGAAAGTATTTTAGCCTTCTCTTTTTTATGTATCAAAGTGCTGAAAAAATATTTCTTTGCAATTTTATCGTATAGTTCTTTGTCTTACTTGTATTAATTGAATATTCTGAGTTCCTTTTTGTGATTGTTTTGTTTTGCTTTTTTTATTTGTTTGTTTTGTTTTTTTCAGAGAAGATCTCCTTATATAGCCCAGGCTGGCCTGAAACTTACTATGTAGCCCAAAATGGCCCCCAATTTGCAATCCTCCTGTCTCAGCCTCCTGAGTATTGTTGGGATTTACAGGCATGTGCCACCATGCCTAGCATAATACAAGATTTCTTTGTAGCATTATTGTTTAAGGTTGGGTTCTTTTAGGGGAGCGGGTGCTCTTTTGGGTTTGGTTTTGTTTGTCTACTTATAGTAATTATATAGATGTGACTTTTGGTTTTGTTTTTTTTTTTCAAATGAGAATAATATTGTTTCCTGCTTCTTTTTGGTGTATTAAAAAATTGTGTATAGCTGGGAGTAGTGGCGCACGCCTTTAATCCCAGCACTTGGGAGGCAGAGGCAGGCGGATCTCTGTGAGTTCAAGGCCAGCCTGGTCTACATAATGAGCTCCAGGACAGCTGGGGGTCCAGGGAGACCCTGTCTCAAAAAGACAAAAAAAAAATCATGTACATGTGTTTGTCTGTATGTGCACATGTATGAAAGTTCTTATAGAGGCCAGAAAAGGGTATCAATCAGATTCCCTGAAGCTGTAGTTACAGGCAGTTCTGAGTTGCCCAGTGTGGATGCTGGGAACTGAAGTTAGGTTCTCTACAAGAGCAATACATACTCTTAACCACTTAGCCATCTCTCCAGCCCCTCAGTAGTTGTATTGTTCCATTTTATTTTCGGGACAGGATCTCCTTATTTATCCCAGGTTGGTCTGAACTTACCTTAAAGTCCAGGATAGCCAGAGCTTCCAGTCCTCCTGTCTCACCATCCTTAGGGCCAGTATTACAGGTGTGTGTCACCACGCCCATTACTTCCTATTTCTCTGAAAATCTCCTAAAGATATGGGATTGGAACCGTGGAATATTTATGAAAATACACTGTTCATTTTTTAAAATGCAGAGTTAGGGTTTAGCTTGTGTTAGAGAATTTGCCTAACATTCTTGAGTCCCTGGGTTCAGCCCTTAACACCTTGGAAGAAAAGAAATCTATGTTGAGTATAATTTCTTTTTAACTTTTTTTGTGTCTATTCAGAAGATGTTAGAAACTATTCAGGATAGAGTAAGAATTTATCATAGTGTATGGTGTGAGAGACAGAAATTCCCCAGTAGAATTGCTTTTGGAAATTTCACATGAAAAGGGATCATTTCTTAAATTAGGTGTATAAAAGAACAATCTACAGCAGTGGGTCCTTCTACTCCCCTAACAGGCACATTTATATAGCATGATCTAGTCCAAATGTTTGCTCATTTGACAGTCCTTTGAAGAATTGTGTGACACATGCATTGAAAATGTGAATGTAGATGAGTTAAGAATTGAAACTGCCTGTTGCTGCTTCCTGGATTCACCAATGAAAGTTAGCTATTCAAACTGTGAAATTAAAAAGAAGAGGAAAAAACACTTTGAGATTCAAGAGAACTTCATCTTTGTGATTCACATGAATTATGACATGGGTGATGGCTGGAATGTAATTACCCTTTCCATGGGAAACTCTGAAGCAGCTTTTACAAGCTTTCAAGAAGGGCTTGTAAAAGCCCCTTCATCACAGTTGAATGAGGGAGATCTTCCAGTGAAAAATGATTAATTCCACAAACAGTGATTCAAGTATCAACAACAGTAAAACAGTTTTAGACATTATGAGATCTGTCAACAAATGGAAAATATTTATGAATAAACTTGCTTTACTGGCCATCCATCCCTTCTAGTTCATTAGAGCAGATGACAGAAAAAAACTATATGATTATTTTTCACCTTTTTTTCCTTTTCTAAACTTTGGACTATAAAGTGGGGCTTTCCTATATTTATTCTAGAAGTTTCGCATCTTTGTCAGATTCATTGTTCTGAGTTCTAGTTGGAAACATGTTGTCAGCTTCTCACACAGAGCAAAGGTGCCTCACTCAGCATCTGGGCAGAAGTAGAAAGCAGAGAGATGCACCCCCAGCAGTCTGCCTGGCCTGTCAGCCCCCTCTTAGTTCAAGAGTCCTGTACACAGAAAAGTAGTAGGCTCGTTGGTTAGCTTATCGTAGTACCCCACCCACACATGTCCTTCTTGGTGGTAGCCCGTCAGGTTCCTCAGGGAATACTTTTGCTCAGGTCATCTTGATCTGCACCAATACTGACATTTACTCTGTCCCTTTTCTTAGGCCTTATCTGTATGGGTTCATTCATTGTGTGAGTGTCTGTATTTCTACATCAGGATGTTTTATTCAACTGGTTTGGTTTTTTGTTTGTTCGTTCGTTTGTTTGTTTTTCAGACAGGGTTTCCCTATAGCCCCAGATAGCCTGGAACTTGGTATGTAGATCAGACTGGCCTTGATCTTTTATCCACCTGCCTCTGCCTCCCAAGTATGAGTGCTGGGATTAAATGCATGCACCAACACACCCAGCTTTCAACTGTTTTATTTCTATCTAGAACCTCAAATATGTTAAGCTGATTCGTTGTATTTAAATTTTGTTTAAGTGTATGTTACATATTAATATTTACAAAATTGAGAGTACTGTTTGTTTTCATTAAGGTATTAGGAGAGTTGGTATTTATGTACACACAGAGGAAAAATATATTCCTAATGCTTCACCTTTGTTCTTTGGAATAGGTA